TGATTGAGAGGCATCCGTGTCTGAGCTATGTACGCGGGGCCGAAACATCGGTACTGGAGGATTGGGCGTGCACAGTTGTTAATTGAGGAATAGAGAGTCGGGGCACCAGCAGAGATCAGAAATTCTGTGAAAAAGGTCTTGCTTCGCGTAAAGTAATAGCCATTCAAGTATCCGGGGCAGTTGTGCCCATTGAAAACCCATCGAGAGGTGAAGTCGTGACGCCATTGAAGAGCGCGCCTTCGACATTGAATTCATCTTCATCACTGCTACCAATGTTCTCCGCGTTGTCTGCTGCTTTTTCTTCTTCGTCATCGCCCTCATCATCGTCATCCCCTTCGCTAGCCGACTCCATGCCCACATCGTCCATAGGCGCCGCTGCTCCCCTTTCTTCTCCCATAGACGCTCCTGATGGACGTGGTCCCAGCCTCGGATCCCAGTCCAACTCCTCTGGCTCTTCGACCTCGACCTCTACGCGCTGCTTCCAGTCGAATTTATCGCGGAGCATCATTACCGCCCGCGATGCGCGCTCAACACGGCGATCGTGCGCGCCACGAATCTCTGCACATTCTTGAAGCACGTCCTCGTATTCAGGTTTGCGCGGTACCCCGAATCCGCCGAGCGGCGCGGGTGGTGGTGTAATGCCCAATACTCCGAGTGAGCCTCGGGTGTTCATGTGCTCCGCGAGGCGTTTGACGGTGTCGTTCTCCATCCGTAGCACGTCGGTTGTCTGCTGATTGCGGAGCAGTGGTACTACCTCGCCATCTAGCTGTGCGTCGGGCATCGGCTTACTTGGGTGCAGCGCTATGCGTTCATAGATGTTCTGCTGCTGTTGTTGTGTCCGGGTGCTTGTACCTGGAGTAGGAAATGGGTTGACGAGCGAGTTGGAGAAATTGTGCGTTTGCGATAGGAGGATGTTGTATTTCGAGAGTATGTCGGGCCATGCAGGCATGGCATTGGCGTAGCCTCCGAGCTCAATCGTCCGTTGCAAAGAGTAGATCGAATCGATGATTTGATTTGCCTTGAATTTCAATGATTCAAGCTGCGCCGTAGGCAAGGCAGGCTTGGGGAGCACGGTCATCCCTGGAGGAGGCCCAAGTGGCTGAGAAGAACCCGACATGCTTCGAACGTTGGACGTGCAGTGTTTCTGAGAAGTATTGGCTGATTCTTCTTGTGTTTCAAAACGAGCAGAAGCGTGGAAGCTGGAGACTTGTAGAAAGACAGATACGGGCTAACAACACGGATGTTGTGGCAGGAAGTTTGGCAAGAAGACTGAGCAACGCGACAAATGTTCCGGCCCGCTCAAAAGAGTTGTGATCTTCACACACACTGCGCTCCTTGCGCGCTTATTTCGAATCGCGTACAGTAAGTATACGTAGAATCTGTAATATTTACTTTCAAATCGTATATATTGGATCGCTGGCCTATGGGTAGAGCCACCGTTCCCAAGGCTGTCAACGACAAGTTCATCTTCATACACTTTACACTAACACAAGTACGAAACCATCCAAAAACCATCTTCAAATACAGGTAGTTGTAAGAAAACAAAATAAGTATCATTTGAACATCATGATCTCCGAGTCGAGAAGTATCTCAAATTTCAATGCGATCGATACTGGGCAACATAGGCCTTATCATCGCTGCTCAGACCAAACTCAAATTTCTCGAATATATGAGTCGCTTCATGGAATTCCCTCTTAATGATCTCCATTGTTTCCGCTGAATGAGGAGTGATAGAGGCTTTGAATGGGCATGGGCCAGTCAAGATACCCTACAGGATGGTGTATGCATTAGAGCATGAGAAAGATCCTCGCATGGCTGGAACTTGGAAGTATGAAACTAGCTCACCTTTTGGTAATCGTTAACGTCCACGTCGATAAGTTTGCCAGTGGCGGAATCAGTTGCGGGGGCAAAGCTGAACGCCCATAACAGCCTCATAGTATTGATGTTCTGCCAATGAGAGCGTAAAGAAGACTATTTCCGAGCGAATGAGAAAATAATAACATACAATCGAGTTCTGTGCAAGGTGGATTCCGGGGCAAATTCGCTGCCGTCACGAAATTGTCAGGATCCATGATAGTGAAAGCATAATCAACTATATTCACTCTTCCACATCCAAATGCGAGATTAGGCCTCAAATCACTTCCATCAACGCCGGGTTTCGTGCCATTCTCAGTGAGCAGGTACCGTTCAGGATCGAAGACATCAGGGTTGTCATACAACACTGGTTGTCAAATGAGGTTAAGAAGATAGCAAAGAATATCATCCATGCTCGCCTGGGTCGTGGAAGATACCCCCTGATATCAGTTGATGAACTCAGTCTTTGGGTATCCCTAGTATTAAATTCGGATGGACAGACGCACAAATATTGACGAAGATGGTGGAGCCTTCAGGGATGATGAAACCTTTGTACTGCAAAGTGTCGTTAGTGACTATTCGGGCTGATATGGACAAAAAGGCGATACAATTACCTCTTCCTGGGCAATGTTAGCATGGGGTACCATCAGTGGTGCAACGGGGCGGAATCGGTGAGTCTTGAAGACGAAGTCAGTACAAATATCACCAGATTTTTGTAAAAATGCTGGAATCCGAAGAATGAGACTCTCACCTCCCGTATTATAGCCCTGATGTAAGGTAAATTTTGAAGATCATCCAAGGTGGGAAATCTTTGGCGACCAACGACGCGATTGAGCTCTTCTTGAGCTTTCTTCTGCGTCTCTGGGAAAGCAATCATGGCAAGAATCACGGATTGAAGGAACGAGGATGTTGTGTCGGAAGCGCCTTCGATGAGAACACCCCCGAGGTACCTGAATTGAAACAGAAGCAAAGGTCAATACTTGACTGCCGTATCAGATTGGCGATCACATACCCGGTAATCTCCCTATCTATACCAAACTCTTCTTGGTGTCTAAGGATCTCCTCCATATAACTTCCATTCTCCTCACCCATTTCCACTCGCCTTCTAGTCTCGTCCAAAAGGCCAAAGTAGAGATCTCGCTGATGCTTTCGACATTGTTTGACATCAATCTTCCACTTTGCCCAGCGCTCGGGAACCTTTTGAAGGAAGGGAAGTAAATCCAAGGGCGGGGTGGCACCTGGCTCAAGAAGCAATTCCCATTTGTGCTGGGCGACGAAGAATGCTGTCGTTTCAGGGGTCTCGTATCTAGGACATCTTTTGCCATACAAGACGGACATAATGACCGAATTGGAGTACCGCCGAACGTGGGTGTAAAATGACTGCAATGTCGCGATGAGATTAGAATATAGAAACAAAATCGCTTTATTTACCTCGGGAGTTTGGAGAATGTCGTAGAGCAGCTGTGTTGATTCAGCCATTTGGATAGGAAGATGTTTGGCAGACATTTGTGGTGTAAGGATAGTGTGGCTCATCCTGCGCAAGGTCCTCCAAGTTTCAGCTACGTTTTGGCGAAGGTAGAGTGTCAAAAAAATGCGAATAATTCACGGTTGACATGGTTGACCTACACTAGCGAGCAAGAACCATGTTGAAACCTCCAGCAACAGAGTCTGCGATGAAGCTTGCTGGACGATCGCTCGTATTTTGACTGCGCTTGTCCATGAGCTCCTTGATGGCAGCGGGATCTGTGATCACTATGGCGGTTCCGGGGCCCATTTTGAGCTGCAACGATAAGCTCGTCAGTCACCCCTGCCAAAAGCAAGACTTGGCGACAACTCACGGAATAGATGCCTCCCCAAGTGCGTGCCCATTCGGTCAATCTAGGGGCGGAAAGGGTCACTTCAGATATTCAAGTGTAAGGACTCGGACTTACCTGATGCTTGCAAATTCCTTTGGAAACATATGCAAGTTTCCCAGGAGGGGAATGGTCGGAGGACCTGGAGGAAGCCTTGTTTCTCTGCTTCCGACATTCTTCAGCTTGAGATACGCCCAGGCAATCGCAGCGAAGAACGCGAGCATTAGCAGAGGGCCCATGGTAGTTGAAGTGAGAAAACACAGAGAGCATGTCGGTCTTTGTGGGGCAAGAAACTCGGAACGCCTTGTGGTGAATGACACTGTCGGAGAACACCTGACAAAGGAGAAACGTTCGCAATTGGAAGCTACACCATGGCGTTGCTGATTAGTCTCTCAAAACATACCAAATACTAGGAGTCTAAATGACATTCGACCTATATATATGAGGTCTGTTCCGATCTCCAAGGCCTTTTGGGAAAATTTGAAGGTTCTTATTTTTGTAGAGCCTTCAACCGGATGAGTGAGCTCCTGGAAGATCATCCGTATGTTCGGGCATCTGGACGACAGCCGAATGCATTCGAGTTGCCCGGCTTTAACAGGACAGTGTGCGAGGGAAGTCGACGACGCAAAAGGCTGATATGGTGATAAGCTTTTGGAAAGTCCTTGCCCCACGGAATAAGAACATGCGCCTCGTTGATACCGAGAACACAAGATTTTGTCGAAAGAAAGGGTCAAGAAGGATGTTATCGACATCAGGAGAGACTAATCTCTGTGAAGGGAAGCACGACGGCGTACTTGACTCGAGAAATTTCGTGGTAGAGGTTGCGCCTTTGTCACTTGCAGCGGTAACAGTTTCGGCCCTAATTATAAGGGCAACAGGGTTGCTTGGTATTTTGGGAAGTCCTGGCTTCGGGTGTTTGATAAGATGCTCGAGAACAAGGACAAGACCAATCACGCGGCTGTTTTACCCCAGCCAGTTAACGCAATGAGTATTCTAGGAGTAGAGAATGAGCGTAGCACTGAAGTTTGAGGTCTATGTGGAGTCTTGTGGACCATTCAAAACCATCAAGGTAGCCTCGATCATTTCAGGGACAACAATGCGTCCTATAACAAAGCCCATGAGAGTGTTTCTCGAAGACTATGCAAGCGCAAAGACATGAATTGAGCGAGAGAAAGCAAAGAGAAAGTAGGAGAAAGTGCCAAGCCATACATATCACCCCTGAGCAACTTAAGTTCGTGGGAATTATACAGCCGTGTAATAAGTATGGAGACATAGTCTAGGTGAAGTTGCAACGGGCACTTGGCACAGTGGTAGCGCGCTTGCTTCGCATTGGGTGATTGCATGAGGTCGTGAGTTCAATCCTCACAGTGTCCACTTTTTTGCCATCCAGTCTTCAAAGTCCAAAGTTCAAAGTTCACAAGTTCATATGCTCTAATCTTGCTGCTTTGTGCGTGAATTGCTATGAAGCACCAGAGCCGTTACCGTCACCCGTTCAAAAACTTTGACCTGTTATATGTAGGCTTGACCAATTTTTTAAAAATTATCAGCATGTCAAGTTCACATTATATGGCACTGATGTGCTTGCAATTTTTTTTTTCACTAGCCAAGGCTCGACGACGCCGCTTGGATGCCGCGCGGCAGTATGCGCGTTGAGCCCAACCAAAGCCCAACTGTGGCGGGACTCCCCTCAGCTATTTCGCGCGCACGGCGCTCTCTCGCTTGTTGGATGCGCTCATAGCTCCTCAAGTTGATTGAGCTTAGAGAACCTTAGCGGACGCTGCTGCTTCAATTCGACCACTCGATTATATTGGGAGCCAAATCTGGTAAGGTAAAGCCTACCCTTGATAGCACTGGTGCGCAGAGATGTGGTAGATATAAAATTCCTTTTGAAGTGTAATCCTGCCTAGACGTGTGTAATTTGATCGTTGTAGGATCAGCGAAGGGATAAGCCTAATTGTAGGCGTAAAGTTGAAGCTCACGGAAAGCTCAAGCCAAGTATCGGATGGCGAGTCTACTGAATCATTCCTCTGGACAATAAACAAAACAAAGTGTAAACATAAGTACTGCTTTGACCCTGACTCACTGAATGCACCTTCAGAAACTTCGTTAATTAGGGGTATGCATTCCCCTGCGCTGGCAACACGCCCGCATTCCCCAGAAACCCAACTACTCACGCACCATATGAGCACATGAACAGGCAAATTGGTCAATAACATGAATGTCAAGCTAAAACGGCTTATGGTTTTCGAATTCGTGTACATTGGCTCGCGGTTCGAATCACCGTCCGCAATCCGTCATTGCGATTCCGGAAGCGTCGAAAGAGACCGATCCCCATGGGCGCAGGCCGCTGCTCAATGCCTGCACGGGGCGCAAGCGTATCTGGAGCGTGCCAGCAGCCAGCGTGAATCATCCTCGCGCATGCTTCATCACGCCCACGTGGTCTTCGCGAGCGCTAAGAGGTCCTCTGCCATCGGCTGGAGCGTCAGCGGGATGGCCAGCGGACGGCGCCATCCGTGCGCCTTTCGTTGCAGGAGCATGCCAGGGACAGGCACAGGCACAAGGGGGACCGATTTGTAGTGCCGAGGCACAGCAATAGGTTCGACGACATCGAGCACACGGACAACAAGTGTAGGCCCAAGCTCTTTGTGTTCCGGGAGATTGGAGAGTTCGAACTGCACCTTGATGGAGCCTACAGAAAGCGAGATCAGCACTAGAGCGCGGATGAAAGGATGGAATGCCTGACCCGTCAGTGGATAGAAGTCAGAGTGGATCCGAGATACTTTCTGCGGAAAGAGCAGGCGGACCATCTTTGCGCGTGTGATATACGTGATTTGTTTCTTCGTTTGCTGGAGATTCAGATCGAACGGGTCGGAGAGGAGATACTGGTGTTGTCCCACTTTGTCCGAGATGTCCAATCTTTTGAGATCGGCGATAAGCGCCTCGTCGATCAGCTGCTCCGCGCGGGAGAGCGCCAGAATGGCTCTCGATTCTTTACGCTTGACCATCTCCAGCACCTTGGGGCCCCACACGTCGCCGCGCGTGCCCAGCAGGTCCCGGCCACGCGCGAACTCCGCCGCGCTCTCGCAGATCCGGAAACGCACCCCCGCGTGGAGTTCGCGCCCATCCGCGGGACTATGAAAATAGAAGAACCCTCGTGTGCCCTCAGGATAATGTGCCAGCCTAGAGCGCCCTCCCGCGTCAAACCCATATGGAAAGCGCATCCGGTGTCCGTCGATGACCGTGTACGCGATGGGAAACACCTTCCCCGACAAATCAATCATCTCCTGGCCCACTGCCGACAATCGCTCAGGGCGTAGCGTGCGCAGCCTAAAAGTAGATGGAGTATTTGGGGGTCGCTTGCCGGTCGCTCTTGTCGACGTCTTGGGGAGAATCAACAAACTGCGGCATGCGCTTGACGTGTGGAGAAGCGCACCGCAAGCGTCCTATATCCTAAGGGAGACGTAGGTACCTGTGCAGTATGTGCAGATGGTATGGAGCACCATGGATTCAGCGCTGGCGCAGGACGAAGATAGAGCTGGCGGCAGGACCGGTAGAGGCGAGAATGCAATAGCTGCAAGCTAAGCATAGCGTGCTGCGTCCGGGATAGCTTCAGTTGTTGTAAACGGCTTCGGAATGGGAAAGAACGTGTGACCTGGAGCAGTGAGCGAGAAGTGGAGGATTTGTCCAAAGGCGAAGTTCGAACGAGAGCGGCTGCGGCCCGTTGGTCACTCCAAGCCACCTGTCACAAATCACAAGTCTCGTGTCACTGTCAAGTCACTAGTCACCAGCAGCCTGTTTCTGGCAATGATGTCCATTGTCCACCAACACTCCTGACCTTACATGTTACATTGTACAGTGGCCCCAGAACCCGCGCTCAAGTCCCTTCAGCTAATGTCAATAGAAACTTCAAAAAGATGCGGAAAATGACGTAGGCATTTGAATGTGACTGGTGTGTCAATGAACGAGATTTCTGCGCTTTCTAATACTATCCCCGCACTTTAGGCAGTAAATTTGTCATTCCCGTAGCTGTAATCTTGCTTGTCTTCAGCGCGTACGTCGCGCTTTCGTCCAAAATGCCTTCAAAAATGCTGCAGCACAGAGGCTGAACGGGTTATTCGCGTCTGTCGACCTCAGACACATGCAAACGGATGGAAATGCGACACTGAATTCTGTAATGGCTAGATCAATTGAATTATCCCGAAAGAAAACTTCTAGACTGGCACCCTCATGAAATCCTGGACAATGCGGTGAAGCGTCGCCATCTACGTCAGTGCGGATACAACGAGAAGTCGAAGGCATAGCAAGGTTATTTACTTTTAAAAGAGTTTAGAGCGGGTCACTCGAGAAAGCAATGGCAGAGAGAAGACGCCATGGCGAAATGCTGGACGCATACTAGCGCAAAAGTGCATGACATTTGAACGCGGAGGAGCAGATTGATGACATTGACGCGTCACAATTGCCGCGCCTGTCTCCCCTTTATGGCAAATCTCCTGCCAAATGCGACAGCATTTGTCTAGGATCCTTCCCCGAGCTCTCCGGCGGGAGGCCAAAACTCCGCTCCACCGCCCGAAAGTATAAAAGACGGGCTCTTGGGTTGGGTCTTGACTGCGTCCTTCTCTAATCTGCCAGTTATACACGGCGAGCAATGCGCCTCCCGCTTTACACGCTCTTTCTCTCCCTCGCCACTCTCTTCTCGCTCTCTCCGCCCGTGCACTCCATCCACCCTCATGCACTCAGCCGTCGAGCTCACGGACACCCTTCCCCTCCTTATGCACTGACTTCTCGCCAGCATCACGTCGCCCGTGACCTTCTGGACGTATGCATTAATGCGGACGTGAACCTCGGTGTTAACGTCTCTCAGATACTCAACCTTGGTTCATTGCTCGGCCCTACCGATCTTGGGACAACGGTTCACCTTTGTTTATGCCTCAAAGTCAGTATGGCCTCGTAAAAAAGCGCATATATACAAACTGATCTTTCTCTACGTTAGGATTTGAATATCTATCTCGAAACAAACGATGATATCCAAGCCCTTGTTACGCTTTTTGGAAAAAATGTGGTCGCGGCTCTAATTACTGCACTTGTAGGCCCTCTTTTTTCCTGTTAGAACGTGTATTGAACTTGTGCAGATCGACACTTCGCCTGACGCTAAACAGTGCACCTTCCCACCAAATGCGCACCATACTTGCAATAATTCCGACCCTTGCCATTACGAATGTGATACCAATTACGTCCGGAATGGTAATACTTGTGTCTGCGCTCCGCCAAACATCTCTTGCAACGGCGTGTGTGGTAGTTTCCCCAAGGTGAGCACTTTTTATCGCGCATATATTTACGATATATAGTTTTTTTTGGCCCTATCTTTATGTCGTGCTGATTTCTACACAGGGTTGTGGGTCAGCTGTGCCTGCAAAAAAGAGGGCAGAGCCAATTCGTACACTCGCCCAGGCTAAAGCAGCTTGCAAACCCCACGAAGCTGTTTGCGGCGTTTCAGGAGGAGTTGGTGCCTTTGCTTTCGAATGCATTGATATCAGCACGACCAAGGATAGCTGTACGGGTTCACCAGTCAATCATTCCCAATTTTTTCATTCTGAGTTTTATCATAGGTGGCGGCTGCATGGTCCCTCACCCATTCGTCGATGAAGTGCCCGGCCATCAAACTGTCGGTAAAGATTGTGGCAATATTTCGAACGTCAAGAGTTCGACATGCTCTGCCAAAAAATGCATTGTACATTCTTGTCAAAATGGTTGGCTGCCTGATCCCACCAAGGAAGAATGCCTCTCATCTTCTACTGGCTCGAGAATGCGCCGAGTCAGAAGAAGTTCCCTTCCCTTAGTTGTTAACGCTACATCCAATGCAAATATCGACTATGGTCTTGTCACGCAACTGGTTGCTATTGTCGATGCCGTTCTTGGCCTCGGCGTCCCTCAGGCGAATTCGACCCTTTCTCCTGTACCTGCATCGTCCTCTTCGTCCTCCACGTTCTCTACCATATCTGCGATATATTCTCTTTTCAATGATGTCCGTCGCGCTACAGGAAACCTACTTGCCTCCTCCACCGTTTCCGAGTTTTTGTCTAAAACTGATAACCTCCTCGACACGAGCGCTCTCCTCAAGTCCATGTTGAATGATTGCGGATGCATTCACAGTCTAGGGCTCTCAGACGTCTCCGCAGAGTTGACCAATCTCATCGCGTCTGTGTCTACCATGCAGAACTGGTGTTCCCATAATTCTATCATTCCAGGTTCTAACATTCCAAGCTCCGATTCCCCTCATCAGCCAATCGTCATTGGTCTTACCGATCTACTCGCCGACCTTGGCTTCAATGGGAAGTCCGGCGCTTCTGTTAACGGCCTCGGTAACAGCTTGTCCA